TCACTAGACGAAGGTCTACTGCTAAAGTCAAGGCTAGCAACCTAAACTGTAAAATGACTGAAAACTACGACTTAAACAACGCTACTAAGTTTTGACAAAACCAAAAAGTTTCATAAAATGACAAACCTCATAAAATTTCAGCCTAAAAATGGCAGACGCGGCTAAATGAAGATGCAAATTCATTCTCTGACAGTAGGTGGCGCTTATGTATGGAAGCCCATTTCCGCCACATAAGATAACTGCCACAAAAATCATTCTTTTGTATCATAATTATGAAAGTCAAAATTATGACATAGTCATAATTATGAGAAGAAAAGTCGAAAGTATGACTTAAAAAGTCATCATGACATTTAAAAGTCAGCGAAATTATGACATACTAAGTCGAAATTTACATAAAACTTAGTACCCTATTTCATAATATCAACTTTTAATGTCAAAATTATGACTTAGTATGCTATGTAATAATTATGGCTTTCTATGTCTTAATTGAGATTTACCAAACCGTGATTGTTTTTTATTTTGTGGAGGAAATGGGCTTCCATAGAGATTAATGTACCTGATCAGATTTCAAAGTCAGCACAGATAGCCTATCTTTCTCTGCCTACGATATCCCACAGTCCTGTTCGCCCTTCTGATGAAGCCATTAAAAGTAGTACATTTATTTTTACTCTTATATTATATTTATTTCCATTTTAAATATTTTCCATCTACTAAGGACATTTACTAAGGACATAAGCATTTTTTATGGTGAAATAAGCATTGTAGTCACTAAGTATTTGCTTAGTCATCTCTAAAGCTTATACTTGAGCTTGTTTTAGATCATTGGACATAACTTTCTGGTACCTTATGAGGAACTTTATTCACTGTTGCCTTGGGTTTTAGACAGCCCGTATCATTTGAAATACATCTGTTATTCAAATATTCCATTCACCTCAGCCTACAGGGGAATAAGTTTGTTAGCGCCCTCCAGTGGTAGGCTATATTATGTGTCATGCAAGGCCATAGTTTAATAAATAAATAAATAATTCCAACACGTGTATATTTATATTCTGTGGAAGCTTGTTTCAGCCACTAAATAAAAAATAAAACTGGTAATGGTCATACCCTTTCCCCCTCAAAAATGCGTGATACAAACTTGCAATTGCGAGTAATAATGTATTATCTTGACTTTTACATCTTTTTTTTATTATTATTCCGTGCCGGAAACTAGCTTCCATAGTAGGCTATTCAGCATTTAACATTACAACGCATACTTTTTCTAAGTGCATGATTGTCATTTGATACAATGTGTGATCTCGTACTTATTTACGTAATGCATTGAAAAAAAAAAAAACATGTATGTTTACAACAGTTTTTTTAAATCACCATGCCAAAATAGACCTGTCCTTCCTCTTCAGAACAATTGTGTGGGTACTTGTTGAAACCACAAAGAACTCATATAATAATAGAGGAATGCTTTAGTTCCTCACGGTGACATTGAGATAAGTTTCTGCACGACATAATATCTTCCAGCTACTTCTATATTAAAGGGACAGTTCACCTAAAAACAAAAAGGGCATAGGGGATATATATTTTGTAAATAATATGTGGTACATTATGTTTTTTTTTGCACAAAGCACTCACAAAGCTTTATAAAATTGAGTTTATACCACTGGAGTCACATGGATTACTTTAACCGTCTTACCTTTCTGGGCCTTGAAATTGGTAGTTGCGTAGGCTGTCAATGGAGGGACAGAAAGCTCTCAGATTTAGTTAAAAAAATCTTCATTTGTGTTGCAAAGATGAACGAAAGTGAGTGAGGAATTATACAGAATTTTCATTTTGAGTGAACTAGCCCTGTTAAATATGCTTAAGCTTCTATTTCAATACAATTGATTGTCCCTGGTCTCCATTCACTATCATTGTACGGAAAACAGCAGCTTGGACATTCTGCTAAACATCTACTTTTGGGTTTCACGCAAGAGAAGCGGGTTTGGAACAAAATGAGGTTGAGTAAATGATAACAGAATTTTAATTTTTATGTGTCTATATGACTATATATGACAATTTAAAGAGCTTTTGTGTGATGCCATCAAGGGATTTCAAAGTCGAGTTAAATTTGCATGAGTCACATAATCCCAAAATAATGAAGTTCGCATAAGCTCTCGTCCCCGGTGATAGGCATGTGTAAGCTAATTTATTCACATCAAGCTTGTGGCTTCTTGTTTTTGCTACTCTTCCTTCACAATTTTTATTTTACAGAAACGTCTACATTTTGTGTCAGATATTAGCACGAGTTCATCAGGATTATGGTGGTTTCCTGCCTTCACTGCTGTGAGATCGAGTGGCACTCATCTAGTGTCCTTCACACTGCATTAATCGTTCGTCCTCAGAGAACAGCGCTCTCTATTGCTCTTCCTGTCTCATGCGCCATCCCACTGCACCCCCACCAAACTCACACGTGCAAACATGTGCACGACTCCTAGGTATACAACAAGGGAAAAAAGCACGGGGAATGCACCAGGTGGGATAAGCAGGTCTTCCTTTTGGTGGTCACCCACACACACATGCGCACACACACATACACACACACACGGACGGACGCACGCACGCACGCACAAACAATGATTGTGACAACAGATTGCAATGCTATCTTTTGGAGCCAGTCAATACACCTGCGACGTCACTTACCCTTAAGCATATTAATATGGAAGAATACTTTACATACAACACCAGATACTCCAAATTTGCTGACTCTGAGAAAGGATTGTATTTCTGTATATATTTAATGCATCAATGTGGAAAAAGAAAGAGGGAGACAGAGAAGAGAATGGAACAGAGAGAGTGTCAAATGTCACTGAGATGAATTGGAACTGCCACTGCAGCAATTTAAGGCTTGACCTTGAAAGCACAGATGATGGGTTGGTCACGTTACCAAGGCAACAGTGAGCTGAAGTGAAGAGTATTTAATTGTACCTATTTGACCTCTCATAAAAAATAGACAATAGAGCACACCTGTGTTTGCCTACTTCTTAAACTGCCTTGGGCCCTGAATACACCTGAGAGATCTGACCAAATACTTCTCCGGAAGCCAAATGGAGCCCAATTAATGAGATTTAAGATGTTGGTCAGATCAGTTTTCCTGCAATTGTATATTCGCCATTTATTTTCCAGGTAAAACCAACCAGATTTGTTAAGTTATTAAAAATTATGAATGACAATCAAATCATAAATGACAGTACAGCATAAAAGTAAAACTATTACCAGAAGTCATGACACGTGAGTATACTATTATTCAGATATTGTTTGAGACTCATGTTGGGTCTTCATTTCATCATTTACAATGCCTTATGGTAGTGGAAGGTCAATTTTTTGGTGACAGTCACTTTTACCAGACAGTTGAGGGTAGTCATTGACCCCCCCCCCCCCCCCCCCCCCCTAAAAAAATACCATCACAACTTATTGCAACAGTTTATGGATATTTATCTATTTAGCATATAGAAGAGTCTATTTAGCATATACACAATCAAAAATAAATAAATGCAATGACATTTAACAGTCTTTGTTCAAACAATATGTAACAATGTTTGCATTGCAGTATTTTATCACTTAACTTTATAAAGCGAAAAGCGATAAAAGCTTCTTATTCTTTTATTTTATTTCTCCTAAAATCTCATTGGTCCAAAATCCTGCTCCTCTAGTTGTATATTAAACATCAATGCTCTGATTGGCTGACTATATTGCATCACACAGCATTTTCACCTTCAGTGTCAACAGATTAATTATTTGCCTGGTTGAGACAATATTATGTGGTTGTAATGTAACATTTTACCTAAAATCCTAAAAAAAAATACCTAAAAGTGCAAACATAAATCTTATAAAATGACTCATACAGCTGTACTATTTGTTTATATTCATGCAGAAAGCAGAACACAGCATTTCTATTCAATGCTGTTCACATCTGACAAGAGTGTGGGCTGCAGAGGTGAAGTGTGACGTATACGTTTTTTGAGATAGACTGATGATTCAACATCTTGTCTACTTAATATAGAGTCAGTGTGTAGGATACACTGAATGCAGGTTTAAAGGGGATTAACGGGTCTAATTACCACGAGGGAGCAAAATGATGCATGTGTTTGTCATAAACCCTTGATTCCTGATTTAGCAGTGGAGAGGGTCTGGAAATGTACAGTGCTTAATGACCCTTAATCTTTATTGAAACTCAGTGTGTAGGATGCAACTCTGGAGAAAAGTGCACTGTGGACTCAATCGCAAAGATGTGGGATTACAAAACAGTCTTTTGTCCCATTAGTCAATCGTAATTCAACTTTGATTTAATAAATGCATTCATTGACAGATAAATTACTATTATGTGAAATAACACGCTACAAAAAAACACTTTAAAACATTCTGTCTATCATTGTGTGTCTGTTCTGTAGAGGGTATAGTATCTGTCTACAGTACCTGTAATGCCTTTACCCACTGCCTGTGTTCATCTGATCTTAAGCAAAAAACACAACATTGATTTGGCATACAGTGCATTCATGCAGGACTTTAGTTTTTGTCAAATGACCATTAGTTTTTTTATTTTAAAGGGGTCATATCAAATGACCCCTTCATCTTTTGAGAAAAAAACCTTGTCGTACAAGAAAAACCTTGTGACTTTCAGAACTCAAAACATTTTGAGTTCTTATTTTTGACAATATCCCTGGCCATTTCAGTCTGATCTTAGTAGTTTGTATGGCACATTTACAGTGTAACATTTACATTTATTCATTTAGCAGGCGCTTTTATCCAAAGCGACCTAATAATGAGGAACACAACTAGGTCATTTTTAGGTTTTCTTTTTTTTCAAGTCTTGGCGAAAAAACAAACAAACCCGTTAACATTATAGGCACCCCTCCAGTAACTTATTTTTTTTATTATGATATGACCCCTTTTAAACTGAGAAACTGATAGAAATTGACCAGAATAACAACACAGTATACAATCAAGAACACCAGAATTACAATCAGCACATCTCAATTTTATGTGATAACATTTTAATATGATTATAATAATGTTTTTGAAAAGAAACCTCTATTTTACACAGATTTGTTTGATCTATATAACATGAATTATGTGTGCAAAATGCTGATTCATTGCTTTTACAGTAACTGCAAAACTGCATCACCGCTCCACTTCTGTCAGACTAAATGGTACTTCAAGACTGCTGCACTTCCTCTCCTTTCTCCTGGAGCTCTTGGTTGTACCTACACACACAAATACAAAGTGCGTCACTCCTTGTGTGTGTGTGTGTGTGTGGGGGGGGGGGGGGGGGGGGGGGGGGATAGGGGGGGTATTTGGGTATGGGTATGGAAGGTGGCCACCCACCGGCAGAAACATAAAATAGTCATCTCTGTCCACCAACATTTAGGCCTGGTGTCACATCCACCAGCTGGAGTGCTCATAATCTCCACCAGAGGGCAGTCCTCTCCACTTCTGGCCTATATCTAATCATGATCTTCCATTCCCATAACTCATTGCCTGGACTCATACCCTCGCTTTCACAGACAAGGCTTAAGCCTAGGCTAGTCCCAGACTAAAATGCATGTTTGAGCTGTTTTAACTGAAAGCAACTTGCACTGACATGCACACCAGTCATGTTTTTTTTCTACGGCATGTTTATAAAAGCTACTTAAATGCCCTAATTGAACTAAGGCCTAATCCTGGTTTAGTCTAAGCCCTGTCTGTAAAAACGGGCCATTATGTTGTGTCTTCTTAAGCCCTGCCTATTATATATAAGCCCTGGCTGCGTCCGAATAGGTACTTATTTTTAATAAGTAATTACTTCATGACTACTAAAAAAGTATGTTCTATATAGTATGAGTGAGTGTGTATAGTATGAATGTAATCTGGACGTACTACATTCGCCACGTTATCACTGTCATGTGACCTTCCAGCGTCAGGTACGTCGCTTCACTGACATTCACAAATCTTCTCCCGTGGCCTCATGGGATAGTAGTGTCCATTGTATGCACACTTGAGAATCTTGTAGGTAGTATTAGATCATCTGGGTACTTTTTGCCTACTCTTTTATGAGCACTGTGAATTCGGACATACCTCTTTTGTCACATACTGTTTTTCACCTACTATATAGTACTATAGTATATGGGTTGTTTGCCTTATGGTTTTGATCATTTGCCTGTCTTTTGAATTACAATTCTGTATTGCCCTATTAAAAAGCTGCATTTGGATCCTCAACCGAGCAGTTTGTGAAACCTGGGACCATAAGACTTAATCATTTGTGGAGGCCATAAGTCAAATATCTCATCTTTTTATGTACATAAAACATGTTTTAAATACCAATGGAGATCATATACAATTCTGTAGGACTGTGGACCTCAAGAGCCAGAGTTGCTCATTCTTGGCCTTTATTTATAATATCTTATGCAGTGTTTTTGTAATATATGCGTGTTATTCCAGCAGTGTAATTAAAAAAATTAAGGACGTTTTTTTTACATTACGATACAAGCATTTATGAGTCATTTGATGTTTAATTTAAAAAACTGAGTCAAACTGTCCGTGTTGGTGAATAAATTTAAATAAATACAAATAATATGTTGTAATTCAACTGCATTTTAGTAGCTTGATATTAGCTTTCAAAATACTGAAGCGTTTGATGATGCCACTCCAAGTGAGCATTCTAGATTTTCTGACAGATTAATACTTTGAAGAAAAAAATATATGCGTTTAGAAATATAACGACACATTTAACAGCTTAAATACTTTTTTGTTAGTATCTTTGTTGACCTCCAAACCATTGAACTCAAAGTCTTTGCAGCTTAACCCTACAACTAAGCTTGTCACCTGTGTGTATTTACTGATGGTAGTAAACAAAGCTGACCTTAGAACAGAAATCATATTGACTAACCTCCATATTCTCGTGAGCTGGACGGTTCCACATATGCCCAGGAAGAAGTTAACAGCAAACAGAGCCCAGTTCTTGGGAATGATCACCAAGCAGTACCTTGACCAAATTATTCCTGGAAAGAAACCAGAGGGAGTCGCTGTGTTGAAATAAAATCCTTATTGTAGAATCAACACTGTATGTGGGTAAAGTGGGTTAAGGCCTTAGCCTTGTTAAGAGTTATATAGGTCGAAACGTAGGGCAAGATCACACTTGAGCTACTGAATGGTAGTATGAGAATTTTTTTAACAGTTATGTTGAGAGAAAAGACAACCAGTCTCAGAAATGCTTTGTCAGAGTCAGAAAGACAGACACAGAAAGAATATTTTCTTTGACTGTCAAATTAGATAATATACTGCTCAGACATTTCATTTAAAGCTCTATTTTCAGCCAAACTAATCTCAGGTTACAATGAGGCTTTAGATGAGATATTCTAATCTAGAGGACACTGACAACAACTACTGATGTTGATCAATCTTGACCAAACAACATCAAGCATGTCTCTCCACCTTGAACAAGTACTGTACCTGTGGCTGTAATGACGCAGGACTGAGAGAGACTGAGCTTTTCTGGTGGCCGGGTCATATCAGAAAATCCAGCCACAACTAAACCCTGCATGAGGAAAGAAAGAGCAAACAAGAGTGAGCTTGCCATAAGGCCTTGATCAGCAGGAAATTCATGATATGATTGCATTTACCACAGCATTACAACATTTCGAATTGCAAAATATTCACTGCACAACTTAAAGGTATAGTGCATTCAAAAATCATCCTTATCACCCAAATGCCTTTACAAACCAGTGGCTGTCAAGGTCAAAAAAGCAGCACAAAAGTAGTCTATGTGACTTCCACCCTACATTTTACATCTTACAAATCCATAAAATTGTTTTGTGTAAAAACTAGAAAAATGTAAAGCAGAAGATGGTAAAAGGTATATAATGCTGTATATTTTAACATTTGTGTATATTTAAACTGTGAGGGGGAAACAATTCTCATCTCACCCATTTAAAAACAGGCGCCCAGAAGAAAACCGTCTTTGGCCCTGAGAAAAAAAAAAGAGAAAAGATTCTGTGAGAAATTATGACAGTGCTAGAGCTGAAAGTGCTAGAGTTGCACTATTATGGATAAATTGAGAATCACAATTTAAAAAATAAAAATAAAGATCACAATTCTCCCATAATTCTGAATTGACAACTAAACAAAATTACATGTAATTTACTAAAGGTTCTGACAAGATGTTAATTGCTGCAGTCTATTTAAAAATATCTAAGGAATTTGAATTATTTAAAAAAAATCGATTTAAATGAATTATTCAATGACTCACTTCACTTGTTTCGTTAATGGATAAATAACCATTTTTGAACGGAACTCTTAAATGAATGATTCAATGGCAAATACATTCAATAACAAATAACAGTCACTTGTCGCCACCAACTGGTGTAATGATGTAATTGATACAATCAATCATTATTTTGAAGTGTCAAGATTTACTCAAGGGCCGCACAATTAACCCGAAATCACGCTTTTAAACCGATATGGCTTATGGTGTGTTCACACCAGACACGAATAGAGCCTCTGGCGCGAGTGATTTCAATGTTAAGTCAATGCAAAGACGCGTAGCGTAAAAAATTCCTGCGCCGCGAATGAGGCGTAGAGCGCGGCGCGGTAGACGCGAATACGCCTCATTCGCGCATCAAGTTCGCGAATGATTTTATTAAGTGCTTTTTGTGGATTCACGCGTTTGACGCGAATTTGAGTCTGCCGCCCGAGTTGAAAAATCTGAACTTTGGCGTCAATTCGCGCTGCGATAACCAATCAGGAGCCTAGCTGCTTGCTGCTGTTACGTGGTGAAGTATCTGGATGCTTCAATAAATTATTTTGTAATATGACTAAATGCCTGGTGTGGTTCTAATGCACAACAAAGCAAATAGCCTATTTTATCACATAAAACTTGATTTCAATATATGAGACATATTTATTTTGTATTGAATGCTATTTATTCCATATCTAGATTATATGAAATATTATTATAATGTAAAGACAACCAACATACTATAGTGCATAAGTTCGTGTCTGGACAGGTTAATCACTTTTGGAGGCTGGCTCTATTTATCATCAAAACAAAAATAAATGACAGATTAGGTGGATGAGGGCGAGGGTGATCCTCGCTCCGATGCGGGACAAAACAGGTCATTAAACTGGGTGCGGGACAGGCGGAAGTACCGCTGAAAGTGGCCGTCATCCAGGTGCAGCTCCTGGAGCGAGCAAAACTGGGTTCGCCTCCGAAGGGTCTGGTGGACACAAATACGGCGACGATGACCCCTACGCCGCTGTTCTGCTCTCCAGAGCAAATACAGAGCGGTGACTCTCTCGATGAATGCTCGATCAACATAAAAAAGATGGCCGCCAACGGGTTTCGATTCCGACTTCTAAACGATTCCGACGATAAATCCCGCTTCAAACTTTTGTTTTTTACGCGCGTCAATTTCGCTCTTGACGCGCGAATGGATTCAAAGTGTTCAAGCGTATAACTAGACGCGGAAGGTGCGAATTTGACGCGCTATTCGCGTCTGGTGTGAACGCACAAGTGCGTTTATGAAATCGCAAAAGCTGTGATTATTTTTTATGCGCAGCTTGTCAGGGAAGCACGGCTCTGTGATCAGTAGTAAATGCTGCTCCATCTTTGGATCGAGATCGAGTGTTTAAATCGAGTGTTTAAATCGAGTGTTTAAATCGAGATCGCAATCTTTTAAGGATTAATCATGCAGCTCTACAAAGTGCTACTGTAAAAAACAAACTTGCCGTCGGTTAATTTTTTTTATTTGATGCTCTAAATTCCATAAAACTTGAAAAATGCTTGAGATCAGATAAGATCCACCTAAAAATGTCATGCAGTATATGATCAGAAATTATCCCCCAGGAGCGAGTAGTCTAAGCAATGTTTAAACTTTAAGAGTACATTTACATGACAACAATGTACTTAAAACGAATCAGTTTTCCTTTGCTTTATTCACGTACAGACGATAATGTTGTCAAAACGATCCCCGTACACGCGCATCCGCTAAAACGACTAAAAATGCTGTATTACGCACGCCAGGCCAGTAGTTGGTGGTGTCACTACGTGCCTATAGACTGAACACATAATATGCTTGACGTCACCGTTTACATAAATTTGCATTTTTATGACAATAGGAGACAATAACGGTATTGTTTTCAAAAACTTGCACTATAAAAACTGTTTTCAAAAGTTTATTAAATTAAAATTTAGGGCCCGTTTACACACTGTTTTCAACTCAAATCAGTTAACTTTTCATGCATTATGGCCGTTCATTTATACGACAAAGGCGTTTTTGGGGCCTGAAACCGCAAACTTGTGAAAGCGGTGACGATGTCATGTGCTTGCATATTACATGTTCAGTCTTATAAGAGCATGGTCACCGTGATTTTTCCAAGTAAGACATGGTCCTGGATCAACATTCCTGTCCCAAAATGTAGTCCTTACCCAATCCCTACCCCTAAACCTAACCCTACCCATAACTTTTCCCTAAAATCAGAGGGTAATGAAAGGTGAATAACACTGGTGTTTAAGTACTTCACCCTGGTTCTAAGCCTAAACTTGACATAAACTGTAAACTTGTCCCTCAAATCTGATTGGTTGATTGGAAAGTTGATCCAAGATCAACAAAGATGTTGATCCAGGAACATGTGGTACTTGGTGAAATCACGTTCACCTAAGAGGATAGTGTTTCTTTACAAAGTGACATCAACAAATAGGAAACCAGGGGGCTGTTCCATAAATGAAGCTTAGAAAAGCGGGGATTAAACTCCAACACCGGACTTGAATGAGCCTAACAAATAAGTTGGGGCTAAAGTGGTTCCATAAAAGGTAATTGAAGTTCACACAATCTCACTAATTTGATCCAGGTTTATCTAGTCTAGATAATTGCGTGTGCACGCGTTTCTGAAGCAGCCCTAGAGGTCGATCGTGGATCAAATCGATCCATCATCAAACAGCGTAGTTTTTGTGCTGTTTTATGCATTTGTGACATGTTTTTTTTTTTCCCTCAGTGCAAAAATTACATTTTACAGTTATATTCTCCATCTGTAAATGTTAGAAAGTCGTGCAAATGTATCCATTTTGCTGCTAATCTTCATATTGAACGAGCGCTGCTGCGCGCATGCGCGCCAAATAGGAGCGCAATAATTCTGATTAAAAAATATACATTTTGCTTGGAAAATTAAAATGCGATATTTTAGAACACTAGAAATATCTTCTAATTATAATAATTTCTCTTTAGGATGTTGGATAAGTTGCAGTGAACTTCTAGCTCATTACACTCATTTTATACTTCTAATAGGCCTAAATAAAAAAAATTGAACAGAAGTAGCCTAATTCAGGGAAGATTTTTTTTAAGAAACTAAATATATAAAGATACAAAATATAGTTTTGGGTATAGGACCTATGCTAATAAAGATATAGGCCTATACTTATTTAGAATGCTGAGAATTGCAGCTTTTAATGCAATGATTTTTTTTTGAGAAAGCAAGAATCCCCAGTTTTAAATGAGTGGTTAGATTTAGTTTCTAAAGTACATTATGGAGAGGATAACATTAAATTAAGAACAAATGTATACATTTTGAAAAGATATGTGCAACTCTAAAATCAAAGAATATTCCATAAAATAAAGGAATATATATTGGCCTACATTTACTACATTTTTATGTAACCTTCCCTTTTATTTCTAGTTATTTGTAATTTTATTTATCTACTTATTTAATATTGAATATTTGATATTTAAATAATATTACTTGAATAACTATTAGGAATTATGTGTCATTCATTATAAGAGTTTGATATATGTGAATGTTATATTTTTATTAATATTTATTTATTGTTTTATTTATATGTATGTGTTGGTATTATCACAAAAGAAAAAAAAGTAGAAGGAAAAATAAGGAATATTTATTGGGGGAAAATAATGTCTTTAAAGGAACTGTCCATTTGCATAATTGTGTTAAATGTGTTTGAATTGAAAGACATAATAAAGTACATAATATATATATATATATATATATATATATATATATATATATATATATATATATATATATATATATATATATATATATATATAAATGAGACAGTGTAGAAAAAAGAATTCTCTGATAACCGAGGCATTCCTTAATTAAAATGTCTTTATTACAAAAATGACATGTCCTAAACGGACAACTTTAAAACGCCTTATATATGTGTCTATATTGTAGCCTTATTTAAGTTGATTTTCTGTATACTGTGTATTTATAAAGTCCAATAATGGTATTAGAGACTGTCAGTGGTAATATCATTGTGTTCTTGTCGGTCAGTGTTGAGGATCTGTGTAACAACTGAGGCTTAGCCTGACAGTTAGCCTGCCCTGGACCAGGCTAGTTTCCCAGCATAAGTTGCCAGGGTAACTGAGTTTGAACTTTTTTAAGTTTGATTTATGAAACCGAATCTACCAAAAATAAGCCTGACTAACCGAAATAAGCCTGGCTTATACTCTAATCTTGGTTTATGGAACAGCCCCCAGGTCTATGTGGTTATGGTGGACAGGACACCAACACAATGTAGGCTACATGATTAGTGGGACAGAAAGATGCACATAAGACTAGCTCATTCAAACTGTACAAGCCTAAAAAAGCCCTAAAAGTATTTTGATACTTAAAGCAGACTTAAATTGTATGAATTTCGTTGCATCGAATTGCAGCTGCAAACAAATGATCCTGTCTTTTTTCAGAACTAACAGCTCTCTCAGCCATTTTGTGATCCCAAGGTTATTATGAATGTATGAAGTTCATTTGAATAGTTCATACAGCCTAGATGTTTTCAATTAACGTCTAATGTTTAATTTTTAAAGGTAATTAATTTATTTGCATGAAATATTTGCATCAAAGGTGTGCACTCAAGTATCTCCAAATTATTTTTGGGGCCACTGTATGACTGCATGATAGATAAATAACATCAATAACACTGCGGAGATAATAGAGAAGATACTAAAGAAAACATTAATTATAAATGCTTTAGAATTAGAATAATACAATAATTTTTAGACAATGACTGACTAGTGTGTTTCTTCAGACAGGAGAAGAGTGATTTCTTTACCAGCAGGATGATTGTAGATAGGTCTTAATTTAGGCGGCAGCATTAATTCGATCCTGTCCAGGGTCCGGTGATACGACGCTCTCAAACCACCGGAATAAAAACGACATGACTGCAGTCGTAAATAAAGTCTGCTGCTGCTCATAATCTTTCGATGCAGTGATCAGAGCACGATGTCGATGGGAAGTTAGGTGCGCACCTTCTGTCCACCCTTCGAGACGACCTATCACAATGTCACCATCACTGAAAACACGTTTTGGTGCCAGGCTGCGAGCCTACAGAAACACAAACAATGAGATACGTGAGACCGTTCTTGAAAATTACACTGATAAATGAATGAATGATTGGATAAATGACCAATCTTTTACCCTACATGTATTCTAAAATGGGCTCCTTAGATCTCTACAGGGAAAATGTGGTCATATGATCTATTAATAGGTAACCTAGTTGAATATTAAAGCGACTGCACTGGTGCTCGTCAAAAAGTACTAACAGCTTCCGTCCAGCAGATGTCACTGTCGGTCTAATAGACGCATACTGAAAATCCCGTTTTGTCTTGTGGAATCGAACGGGATGAAAAGAGAGTGAATTTGGAGCAGAAAATTGTTCAAATCTTTAAATAATCCATGGCATGAAATCTCATTTCACCATATTACTTGATTGCTAATATAATTTTTGATGGTCAGATTTGAATAAATTTGCATAAATAAAAAAATTGCAGCAGTGCTTATTTGAAGAGAATTAATATATAGGCTATATATATATATATATATATATATATATATATATATATATATATATATATATATATATATATATATATATATATATATATTAAATTAGATTATTATAGTATATCATGCTAATTTCGGTTTAACAAATAAGTTTATACATACTCTCAGAATTGACCTATTATGCAACCTTGACACAGTCAAATGATGTAAATTAGAAGTAGTAGGCTACTTACTGTCTTTGCATGACTGCTATATGAACACATAACACAATAGTGAAACTGTACATTTTAGAGAGTTATTATAAACCATATACATTTTACACTACCCCCCAAATATAGCATGGGGTGGTGGGGGTGGGTCACATCTTTACACTAGTGAATGGGAACACTGCCTATTCCTGGGCTCACTGAATTCACTTGGCAGCTCTGAATATGGGTAGGCCTAAATGTGAAAATAATGATAAAATGCTATTTTGCATATTGCTTAGTATGAAAAACAAATTATTCTCTAATGTATGGCATCAAAAAACAACTAGATCAACATCCTTCTGTATACGTCTGTATACGTAAAAAATAATAATCACATTAAGTGCAAAACACAAAGAAATGCTTTATGCATGCATGTGGTTGGTTGGTTTTGTTTGCATGTAATACTTAGGAATTTTTTGTGGCTTATTCCTAAGTTCCCCTTTAATAACAGTAAATAAACACTAACAGTAACTTGTTATGCAATATCTGGCACTTATGTAATTCATGAAACTGTGGGGGAAACAAAGCCACAGTTGAATTGTAATCAGAAGAGAAGTTCTAACAGAGGTATCAGAGTGGGTTTTTAGATTTAAATCAATTATTAATTCTCTAGTTAAAAAATGAGCAGATCAGAAAATTTTGAAAGTTTGATCTGCCTCCGTCCCAATTAAATTACAATACTTTAAATTACAATAGGCCTACATGCAAAACGTACATTTTTGTCATGTTTTATAGCATAAACAATTTGCACAAATTTACAACAAAAATATTGTTCAGTGATAAGTTGTAACTTGCCATGAATCTGCGATTCAATCTGGTAGGCTACACCAATTAGAAAAGGGTTAATTTCTACCTGAGGTGACAGTTGTAATTTCACATTTGGCTTGAAAATGATTTATGATCTGTTAATGGATGTTGTTTAATTTGATAAAACATCTACTCAAAACCTAAATGTAAAAAAAAAAAAAAAAAACATTCCAATATAGGCTATGCTTCTACTGTCTTTGTGTTGGACATTAATACACACAATTTAGGGATAAGTAAAAGATTTTTAAACGACTTTAATTTGTAGCTGACAAATATTGGAATATTATTTTGAAGTTGAGACACACAACATGACACACCCAAATGCAGCTGGCCTACAGGCTTTTAAACAAAACGTTTAAACATTCCCAGGTTTCGCCTAGGAATGTTTGTACATTTTAAAATGGGATAGTCTCAATGAATAAGCAATAGCACAATATAAGTTTCATAATTAATTAGCATTATAAACAGCAAAAGTCTGACGTAAAAAATAAAGTCATTTGGAGGCAAAGTGACAGTAATTCAGAGCCTGATTCCGGTTTATTTATAAACAGGAAGGCTTTAATTTTGACATAGACGTGAGGTCTGATTCACACGGATGCAGTCACGAAATATTCCTAATCATGTGTTTGGCGAAACTGATGAGTCACACACGGAGTTTTATCCTGTGCTATGTTTTACTGTAAGAGCTTGATTAATGCTCGTGTGTTCTGGATTACTTCGCTCAAGACAACACTGTTACGTTACGATTTACGTTTTTGCATAAACAGTCGCCGCTTGAGGATGTGGATTCATTGTGAAACTTATAAGAGGCAAGACATTCGGTGTCGGTTACATCCTTAATTACTCAATCACTAGTGAATCACACAATCACACAAAAGTGAAAATGTAGACTGTATGTATTGAGATGATCTGATATTGACATTGCATGACTTAAACACTTTAAAAGCGGAAGTGTTTTTATCACGAGTCACATGTAGCCTAACTGTAGGTGTTTATTTCTGTGGAAAGTCCGGGATAACCCTGCCAGAAAATCCCGGAAATTATTAAAATATTTACTAGAAAGGTAGTTGATCACTGGTATTAATAAAATGCAAAAGATCAGAAGAGTTCAACACAAACCTAAAATCTGACAGAACGTTGATCCCAAAAGGACGCAAAAAAGTATTTGGACACTTATGTCACAGTTTGTCGCATTATTAGCAGATGTCGACTTATAAAAACATTAAAAAAAAGTGTAGGCCTACATAACAATATGAATGTTATTGTGAATATTATGCAGAATTTTTTTTTTATATATAAATCCTGAATGCATGTCTGATATTTGTTCATTTCACCGCACACCCTTATAGTTTCACGGAAAACCTAAAGGATTTACACTGTCAAAGCTTTCATTTCAATCAAACTTTAGTCTGCAATAAAAAGCATGATCGCTCCAAACAAACTCAGATGTGTATGCTTGAGATGCCAATCATAAAATTCCCCTTTTTCTTTTTTCATCCAGTTACTGGAAGTTTGGGGGATGGCCCAGATAAGCTGTATATGTATCTGTTCATAGATAGAAACCTGACTATTTTAAACATGCTGCGCCTTCTAATCATATTAAGTTTGCTCAGAAGAGGTCGGTAATTGACTTATTTTTATGGCTAAATCTGAAACTGCTCTGGCTGGATGTTGCTAAACTGTATGGAGATGGTGGGAAGCTTATAACAACATCATTTTTTTTTTTCATTCCACAGCTTATCTTTCAGATATTGTAGCACAAGGAGACACAGATGTTGTGTTGGGTCAGGATGCTTCACTCTCTTGTACGCTGCCGTTTGTGTCTGGAGTCAAACAGGTCACCTGGCAGCGGGTGCGCACGCACGAAAATGTACAAACTCTGGCAACATTCAGCGAACAATTCCAGGATAATGTGGATGAGGAGTATGTGGGAAAAGTCACTTTAACTCTGGCGACATTTAATTCAACTTCTATTAAGATCAAAAACACAACATTTGAAGACGAGGCTTGCTACATTTGTTCCTTCAAAGTGTATCCATCAGGACCCAAACGAAAAACCCTGTGCCTCACTGTTAAAGGTAGGTAAATACCTACAACCAAACTAAGGGAAATCACTAAGGTTATCTATCAGATTTTGAGTCAGAAACACAAGGATCAATTAACAAAGGCAGATTGAACCAAAACATTGAACTGTTTTTTTAGACTAGGGCATATCAGTTTGGGGAAGATTGTGTGTCACATGTTTTTTTCTAAATGTGTAATTTTGAAATGGCTGAAAAGTCATTAACAACTTATAATAGGCTAATGGCAGGTTCCCATTGTGACAACTTACTCCATAGTTTGACAATATTTCCCACAATAGGGGGCAATGTTTAAAGTGCCCTTGTTATGCTATTTTAAAGTTTCTTAATATAATTTTGAAGGTCTCCCACAATAAGTTTACATGCATCCATGGTAAAAAAAAAAAACACTTTAATTTTCTCATTACATGCATTTGCAGCATCACCTCTTTTCTCACAGTTTCTGAAACAGTTCAATCAAGGATTAAGTCTCTAAACCCCTCCTTATTGAGAGCCTACTCTGCTCTGATTAGTCAGAAGGCCCAGTCTGTTGTGATTGGTCCACAACTTACAGTATGTGTCACAATTTACCATATCTGAATTCCAACTATGGAGGCTTCTTCAGCGCTTGTGTAATGGACATAGGCCAGTAAGAGTTAGCACGGCTTATCAGCACAGCCGCCTCCCACACCGGAGACCCCGGTTCGAATCCCATTCGGAGCGAGTAGGACAGGTTACATTTGGTGCCATGACCCGGATGTGACCTTGATTTTGAAATTAAAACTTTAACTGAAGTCGGCCAGTAAGTAAGAGCTGTGCATGTAAAACTCACTCTGGCCTCAAAAGGCGCACTAGTGACTGGCGCTAGAGACTGCGGTCTTTAGCGTTCTTGTTAATAATAATTATAATAAATCGTTACATTTATATAGCGCTTTTCTTACTCAAAGCGCTTTACATGGAAGGGGGAATCTCCTCAACCACCACCAATGTGCAGCATCCACCTGCTCCACTAATTGGTCCACTAATTGCTCCACTAATTGGTCAATAAGATCCGGAAAGTATGGCAAGTGTACAGTATATGTTGTGTTAGTGTCAAACAAGCACTTTCATCCAAGATAATGCAGATATGCCCAAACTCACAAGGGATTGTGTGAATCATAAGGTACACGGAGATCTGTCCATGAATGATAATGGCTTCTCAGTGCAAGACTTTCATTCAGTTTCCAATTCCAGAAAAATGAAAGCAAATGTCAGCATCATAGGGTTAAGATAGTATATTATCAATTGTGAACTTTAATAGACATTTTGAGCTTTGCATATCACATAATTTACTGTTTAGTGTTAAAAGATTGTACTTAAGTAATTATGTTTCTGGTATTTTCCAGGTATCTCAGAAATAACAGTGGAAGTGAATCCTTCACCCACTTCTGATTCAGATGTTGTAGTCTCATGTTCAGCCACTGGTAAACCAACTCCAACAATCCAGTGGAAATCATCAGAGACAGAAATGAACTTCTTCAGGTCAAATAATTTCACTAACCTCAACGAAGACAGTTCAACCACCATTACAATTAACATCACAATTCCACTGTCACAGTTTCATGGGAAGTACGTGGAATGTTTGGCTCAGAGTGACAGCGTGGAGAAGAGGTTCCAAATTTATGTGCCTCAAGATGATAATAAAGGTAACTTGATTTGACTTATTAGACGTTAGTGTTTGAATGGTTGTGGTTTATGGGATTAAAAACTGCATGAGCTAATAATAAATTAAGCAAGCAGTGGTAATATTGTAATTTCATAATTAAGCTAAACAAGATGCATTTTCATATTTAAAATGAAATTATCTTTATCAATATTTACATGCAAAAAATCGTTTTTTGTTTCACAGAAAATAATGTCACATTAAGAAAGTATATAATTCCGATGTTGGTCGTGGTTATCTTCAGTATTGTCATTATTGCCTTCTACCTTCACACAAAGTTAAATGGTAAGCAGAAATATATTACTTTCTATCAAGACCACATTTATTGCAATAAAGAACAGCATTGCTAATTATGTATGTTAATCATTTCTTCTTTTTTTTCAGATAAAAATCAGAAATCTGCTCGTACAGCATGAACTATTGGTCATCTGCCACTTTCTTCAGAATCTTTGATATGCTGCTTTTGTAGTCTGCTACAATAAAAAAAGAAGAAACATCATGTTTCCTTTTGTGAATAAGCTAATATTAATATAATTGTATAAATATCTGTTCACCTGAAAGTCTGTATTTTTCCACAAACAATTTCTACATTCCTGCACCTGCACTTTAAGAACTTAACTATTTGTTCTTTCTACCTAACATTTTATTTATTGTTGTGAGTATTGTGTATTGCATTTTGAAGAATTATGTTTCAGCAGTCTGTCTTTGAGAATAGACTATTTAGGTCACCTGTCAATAATGCTCAAAGTTTTCCAATAAAAATTGGTTGTTGGACCCAAACATTCAGTTATTGATGGCTAACTCACCATTAACAATAGCATAATTAGGTAACACTTTATTTTACAGTGTATTGTTATATATGTTACATGCAGATACTATAGTAATAACTATAAATTATGCATAATTACATACAACTGACCCTAAACCAAACCACACCCTAATCCTAACCCTATAGTGATATGTAGTTACTTAATATTCCTACTTAAATGTATTACAGTGTAACAAAGACACATTAAAATAAAGTGTGACCCATAATTCTTATGAATTCCCTCTGTGCATCATTTGCCTATTTGGAACCCATGCTCAGTATTCCATTCAAAGGGAAAGGAAGAATAATACATGGCCTTCTCATGCTCCAATGACACATGCACAGAGAATTGTTTGTCCATACAGTGACATCCTAGCCTGACTTCGTCATACTCATATTCTAGTCAGCTTCCCGACCAACAAATGTTGTGGGCGGGGTTTGGGCTGGCATCCAGGCTAGTGACATCCATTCCAGTGAGTCACAATCAGTTTATCCTGAAATAAAAGTCCCAAAAGTAACCCTGAAATGTAGAATGAATGCTTTCAGTTCCTTCCATCGCAGAAGAAAGTTTCAGTTTCTTCCATCGGCAATGCATCAGTAAAATCCTGTAAGACAATATAACTTTTGCAGAATTTACAGGCTGCTCTTTTCCATATAACAAAATTGAATGGCCAATATAGCCATTCAAACAAAAAAACCCCAAAAAAGTAGTGTATATTCCCTCTTTATACAAAATTTTGTTATACACAGAATGAAATTTAAGTTTTTATTCACTGAAAGTCTAGCATTCCCTCTCATTCACATTCAAACCTGGATCATCAAAGCATAGTTCACCCCAAAATGAACATTTTCTAATAATAGGCTACTCACCCTCATGCCATCCCCAATGTATATGACTGACTTTCTTCAGATACACACAAATTACGTAAATTTAGGAGAATACGGTAATCCATCTCTGTGAGTTCATACAATGCAAGTGAATGGGTGTGCTCAGTTGACGTTTAAAAAAACCACACAGCTATCATGACGGTAATCCATATGGACCAAGCGGATTAAGTGAAATTAAGTCGGATTAAGTCTTCTGAAGTGAAATAATAGGTGTGTGTAAGTAAAACACTAATATTTTTAACTATAAATCATTGCTGCCGGTCTATATGAGTGTTCACGAGAGTTAAAATATATTAGTGTTTTTCTTACACACACCTATCATTTCGCTTCAAAAGACATTGTTTCATCCACGGGGGCCGTTTACAGTCACGATTGCTGTGTGCGTTTTATCAAGCGTAATTTTTCCTAAAAATCTTTTGTTTGTGTTTGGGTCATTCCTGGTATGCGGTGACATTTTAATAAGCGTTGGGAAAAAAAAGGACATGATTTTCATGTTTTTAGCATTTTACCAAAATAGTGACATGTTTAACTATAAGGAATACATATTGGTCAAGCTCAGGGACTCTTTATTAATAATTCATGAGTTCACATCTACACACATAATTATTATGGTCAGAGAGAGCCTCCTGTTGGCTCTGGCACAAGAGAGAGGACATAAGCTGGAAGCCTGCAGAGAGGGGCAGTGACCTGGCCAGTCACTGCTGACCCGCCAGCTGGAGGGTGTTGTGGTTAAGGGTCGAAACACCCAGTGAAGGTTGAGGACCACCTGATGACCTCTCTCCCAGGCCAAGGCTTCATCCATTAGAAATGGGTGTAAGGTAGCATCGCAGATGTATTATACAACTTATGGTAAAGGTTATGCGTACTTGGCGTGCTGTCCGGGTGGAGAACTCCGAGCTCGGAATTTCTGCCCGAACCCAGAGTACTCCCCCCGTTAGATGGAACTAGAAGTGAGGAGATGGAACTAAAGTGAGGAGGTGGGATGCTGATAACCTGTCAAGGAACAACGGTGGGTTCTGCTGTTATTTATCCTATTCTGAGTTGATTACAGATTGAACTCCACTTGTGCTAATTGGGTTAATTATCTGCACCTGCTCCTCCAAAACCTTGTTAATAAAACCTAATTTATGGGTAGATTGTTCAGACACTGTCCATGGAAATATTTCACCCTGTTAGGGACATATACATAGGCTAGTTATCACAACATGTTAATAATGTAAATGTTAAACAATAATGAGCTTTTCTTGGATAGTATATGTCCCTTATGCCATCTTAGATTTTTTGTTTTCTTCTTGAAACAAGCAAAACAATTTTTGATGAATAGAATATGTTTCACATTCCTCCCTGTTAGGTTTATAGACCTAAAAGGGTGTACAATTCTGAGCTAAGTTAGCCATAGCTCTTTGAGTGATCAACATTTAGCTAGCTAACCTTCTACAGATGAACAGAACTTTTATAACTATGTCAGATTTATTTGTACATTTTTTTTGATAGGACAAACATTCTCCATAACAGCCTCAGGGTGGAACTTTAAGGGTGGGACAAGCAGGATAACATTTCAAAAACTAAAAAAAAAAGTTAGGAGTGAGAGTTGAAGCTTACTTCAGTTTGTACAGTTGAATTCCAGCAAGTAAAAGAAATTAAGTCACTTCTTGAAAATGGTCTCAATGAAATTGCAGTTGGATTTGGAAGGCAAAGTACATACTAACAGGGTGGAGGATGACTTCAGGGACGCAGTAATTGAAGAAAATGTTAAGAAAAATACCTATATTTTCACATGATTTATATGTATGATTAGAGGCAATTTAGCCTAGTCTATAACATAATTAAAAAATATTTTGAGGTTTTTGTCGTTTCATGGTTTATATTTCTTGCAGAAGTTGATTACTGTGTGCACTGAGGACATGATATAATTGAATGCAAACATCAATTCAAATTGTGTAAAATACAAAATAGTGTTTTTAATGTCTATTATCTCTTTTTAAATGGTAAAGAATACTTAAATCTACAATTTAAGCCATTTATTATAAATATGTGACTCATTTCAGAGAAAATATGAGTAAACAAATCATTGGGACAGGAAGTCACCGCATACCAGGAATGACCCGTTCATATGAAGAAAGAAAGTCGTATACATTGGGGATGGCACGAGGGTGGGTAAAATATTGAGAGAATTTTCATTTTCGGGAGAACTAAGCCTTTAACCACGCATAAGAACTTTTTTTGTTAAAGGAACACCCCGACGTTTTGGGACTTTAGCTTTATAGTCACCATATCCCCCAGAGATACCCTTTTCATCTCCGTGCGTACACCCACCGTGCACCCACCGCTATGTCTGACGCACCCACCGCTGACGCCCCCCACCCCCCCACCCCCCCACACCCCCACACACACACACACACACACAAGTTGATTACTTCAACTTGCAGGCTTATAGTGGATATACAACCAACAACTTTTAAATGATGTTAGCAAAAGTATTTTTTTTTTTTTTTTTTTTTTCCTTACATGTTAATATCCATTTGCTCAACAAATAAGTATCTACGTTATATCCTTTTCTGTAAAAATAATATTCTGAAGAATCTAAATCATAGTGTAGCCTACAGTAATGTTGAGTGCTGAATCAGAAGCCGTGATGAATTCACGGATTTGCCATGATATGCTATTTAGCCAACGTGAGAATATACAAACCATTTCTGCATTTGCAAATTAGTTTCTGGGAAATGTGAGTCCTGTTTAACATGGGCTTTTCCTTCCCAAAAGTGATGGCTCATTTTACCTGTCACAATAAAATACAGAATATTCACTTTTAAATCGGAAACTCCGTCACATGACGTAGGCAATTCAAATTACATGAATGCAGGAACTTAACTGTATTTCTCATCTATATTGCACGCATGTTTCATTTCTTCTTTTTTTAATGTTAATGACGAGAATATTTTTTTTCTTTTCACATGTCTCCAAAACTATCACAGAAATATCACAAAACTAACTCTAAAAACATGTTCATCATAAAATAGATTTTAAAATGTATGCTCCTCCCTGTCTCGCGTAAATTACGCTAAATGAAACCTTTTTTTTTTCTTTTTTTTTTGCTCACTCACAACCAGTAATAGCACGTCATGGGAAATTTTCCTTTCACTTTCAAAATTAGGACTAGCCTATATATTTGTGTCTCATTACAAACGGACCATGCCAAACATTCGACATGTTGTGTCTGTTGAACTTGATCCTAATTTTAAGCTTCATAAACAGAGGTTAGTAATGAGAATCCTATTCAATACATTGCATTTCTTTTTAGGACAAAACAGTGTTAAGCTTGCAAACTAATAACTTGTTTATTTTCATTCCACAGCTTACCTTTCAGATATTGTAGCACAAGGAGACACAGATGTTGTGTTGGGTCAGGATGCTTCACTCTCTTGTACGCTGCCGTTTGTGTCTGGAGTCAAACAGGTCACCTGGCAGCGGGTGCGCACGCACGAAAATGTACAAACTCTGGCAACATTCAGCGAACAATTCCAGGATAATGTGGATGAGGAGTATGTGGGAAAAGTCACTTTAACTCTGGCGACATTTAATTCAACATCTATTAAGATCAAAAACACAACATTTGAAGACGAGGCTTGCTACATTTGTTCCTTCAAAGTGTATCCATCAGGACCTAAACGAAAAACCCTGTGCCTCACTGTTAAAGGTTAGTTAAACATTACTGTGATGATATCAAGGTATAGTTATGGTTTTAGATAGTAATAGTGTTTGGTATACGGGCTAAATGCAGCAGTTTGTACTCGAATTAAAATTTTATTTTAACAGCACATCTTGTAGTAGGCTACTGCATCTTGACTCGCACGTTAGCATCTTATGTGGCGGGGCATGTTGTCACAGTGGAACCTGCAAAAACATTAAGCATATGTGTGTATATATATATAGCCTACACAAACTTATATTTAGAAGTTTTTCTAGTGATGTAGTAATATTTAGTACTTTTAAGTCATTATCTTGCTGGTATTTTCCAGGTATTTCAGAAATAACAGCAGAAGTGAATCCTTCACCCACTTCTGATTCAGATGTTGTAGTCTCATGTTCAGCCACTGGTAAACCAACTCCAACAATCCAGTGGAAATCCTCAGAGAAAGACCTGAAGCACTTTAGTTCAAAGAATTTCACAACGCTCAACAAAGACAGTTCAACCACCATTACAAGAAACATCACAATTCCACTGTCACAGTTTCATGGGAAGTACGTGGAATGTTTGGCTCAGAGTGACAGCGTGGAGAAGAGGTTCCAAATCTACGTGCCTCAAGATGATGAAGGTAAACAGGTTCAACATGGATATCGGCTAGAATCGCATTAAAAAAATGTGCAGTTGTTACTTTCTACCTATACAGTCACTTGATTCATTCAAACTAAATATTGTTGATATATAGGTCAAAAATAAAACAATCAATTTAGATGTTACAACTTGAAACACATTTTAACAGCAAAACCAATAGGCTTTATGCACAGCTTCACTACTTCCTGAACTTCAGCCAGCCCTTTGTTTCCTGTCTGTCATTATTGGACAAACTGATTAATCCAGGTGTGCCTGATTATTGTTACTGAAGCCAGGCACACCTGGATTAATCAGTTTGTCCAATAATGACAGACAGGAAACAAAGGGCTGGCTGAAGTTCAGGAAGTAGTGAAGCTGTGGCATAAAGCCAATTAAGCTTCACATTCATTGTTGCCATTTTGACAGTTTTTAACTGCAATACTTTTTCTCACTATTTAATAAAAAAAAAATGTTTTCGTGTCTTACAGCGAACAACACTACACCAAGAAGTTACATCATTACATTTTCAGTCATCATTGTCATGACTATTGTGATTACTGTCATTTTTGTCATCTGTCTTCACACCAGGCTAAAGAGTAAGCTGCACAATTCTATCCCTCTAGTTTAAATTGGTTAATGCAACCCCACATACTGTCATTTATTAAGAACAGCATCTCAATAACAAACTAATTTAATAATTTCATTTGTCCCCACCAAGGAGCCAGTTTTGTGATGAAATCCCTGAATGACCCAAACGATCGATGTTAACTCTGCAGCTACCTCATAGAATGCTTTTTTTTGTTGTTGCTCATGATCTTTGTGAATGTGATTTTTTATGTTCCTTAAAGGAATCGTGAATATCTTGTCTAGTATTTATTTAATTTATTTTTTTAACATATTATTTTACATAATTATTTATGTTTACATTACTGTTGTATTGCATTAATATAGTTTAATACGTGTAATATTTTTTTACCACTATGTCAGCATATTTTGACCACAGAGAATGACTGTAAGACAGATAATACTCATTCTATAAGTCATGTATCAGACCTATGCATTTGCACTTTAAGACCTAGTTGGTTGAATGTACTTCTTGAATGTATGTAATTCTTCTGGAGTTGAGAATGTGACAGTTATTTATAAATTCAACAAATTTTGATGTTTTCATGATGCCATTGTTCAAATTATGTCATTGATGTCAAACCGAGAATCTGGTGAAAAACATCGTTTTGAACATTGTGAAACAAAGTGAAAGTTGTGTCATTATACACAGAACCTGTTTTGTGGTTTCCTGCAGGAAACTCTGAAGCCTGCAGAGAGATGACTTATTTTGTTACTATTGTTATTTGTACTATTATTTGTTCATTGCAGTAAGATTACTAGAAGTACAAATGTGTCTAGCTGGCAAGATTGACTGTAAAGTAAATCAAAAGAGTATAAAGTTACATATTTGTGTTTGTCACAGTGTATGTATGTTACATCATGTCTAACCTGCAATTTGAATTAAAAACTGCTGCATTAAAATTTCTATGTGTAACCCCAAAAATGGGAAAAGTGTGTGGCAAACATGGACATTTATGTAGGGCACATAAATGATGTCAACAAATTAGTGTAAGTGTGTTAGATAACAAGACTAAAAATATCATATGTAAGATTAATCATCTTTCTGAAATCACCTTATATCATAGTGTTATATATAGCATTTTGAGTAATTCCAGTAAAAAAAAAAAAATCTAAAACAAAGTTCTGAGTATTCATAACATTGCAGATTTTGGGGAAAAAAAAGAGAAGTGAAGTGAAAAGAAAGGTCAACTGGTCTGGTTGAACTAAAAATGTAGCAGTAACCACTTGCTAGCAGTAAACGTTTAGGCATGATTCCTGTACAAGGTCTAAACCTACACAACTTGCAGTATCAAACCACCAGCAAATGTTCCCTCAAATGACCAACTTGAAACTTTCAAACAGTTCTTTGCTGCCTCTTTTTCAGCAGCCACGTGGTCTGTGATTGTCTAAAACAGTGGTTCTCAACCTTTTTTGGGCCAGCGCCCCTATCCAATATCCAGGTCCCTGACCGCCCCCCCCCCCCCACCCCCACCCCCACCCCACCCCACCCCAACTAATGCCATGTTATGAGCGAGTCAAGCGAGCGAGAGTTAACAGATAAAAAATAAGTACAAAATTGTAATTTATTTATACAATTAAACTATACTCCACAGTGATTAACCCCCCCCCCCCCAAAAAAAAGCTATAAGTTGCATTGGCATAGCAATAGCAGTGTTTCAGGTTGTTTGTTAAATCTGTGGTGGGTGGTCCTTTGGCCTTCTAAGGGGGTTCAGGGGCATGCCCCCCTGTAAGAAAATTTTGTGCATTTTAATGTTAAATTCATCAATCTGGTGCACTTTGAGAGTTCAAAATTAAAAGCTCCACCCATATTCAGTGTGCAAATTAAACAAAGGAAAATTCAAACCTCTTTTAGTTGTGTCTGTCTACATTACACTACTACATAATAGTTATAATATTAATCCCATGACAGTAATATATATTTGTAAAACAAATGCACTGAAAAATAAAGGACGGTCATTAAAGCGGTAATGTTTGCATGCAGGTTTTATTACTCATTTAGGAGAGTATTGCAAGAAGCTACTTACATTAACCTTACTTTCGAAAAATAAATACAATCCTGATTTTTCATGAAAAATTATGTTAGAATTGTAGGCCTAAAATACCTTGGTATCAGCTGGTTTTCGTCAATGGCATAATTAATACAATTGATTTGGTTTGTCGTGATTAATTTGTGTTCATAATCAGTAAAAAAAAAAAAAAAAGAATAAACACATATGATTAATTAAATTCAATTAAATTATTATTGTATTATTAATTATTTTTTAACTATCTTGAAACTATCCAAGCAGCGTTTCGCGCTCAGATGTGATGGCGGAATTATTACATTACCAAAATGTGAAAACAGAATATATTTAAATTATCCATCAAATTGTCATTTTCTCCTTACTGTCTTGCGAGTTAACAAAAAATTTCTGACCAGTAAATTACTTGGTGAACAAATAAAACATTTTGGCATTAGGCATTGGGGTTGATAATGACTAAAAATGTTTTTAAAAAAAAAAAAGTTTTACCTTATAAATAGAATTTAGTGTGAATGGGAACATGATTTATTGAAAATAAGTGTTTCTTAAAGGTTCTCTAAGCGATCCTGGGTGACGTCACTTCTTGTTGACGTTCGAACTATTGTCAAACAAAACGGAGGCTAGCTAGACCCTCCCTCCTCCTCATCCGCACACTAACCCCCCAAACCACACCCCCAAACCCTTCTTGTCGGTCATTGGCTGGAACAGTTTGTTATGTTTCGGGGAGCGGGTCGCCGCAGTTTGTTTTTGTTGCTGTTTGTGGAGCCTGGGCTGTCTACAGAGGTCGCGTTTCTTTACAGTGTGTTCAGGGGACAGGCAGCCAGCGGATAGTGAGGAGATGTTTGCTGTATGTGACAAAAAATGTTTTGGCCTAAAAAACGCGTGACATCGCTTAGAGCACCTTTAAGTCAATACTTTTTAATGGCTTGCCAACTTTCCATTCCTCCGCTGCATGATTCTAGTCAGCGCTGGATTGAAATCGTCAAAATACAACTCGTCAAAACTTCGCCAATCACAACAAGCATATCGGTGAGAACACTCATTTAAACAGCATACACACACCCAAACTTGACTGCACTATTTGACTGCACTATTTTTGACTTGACTGCACTATTTTTGACATTATTGGTACTGCTTTCAATGGTAATGCAATAGAAATGAACACAAAAAAAACTGCATAGTGCCTACCTACAACACTGACGGTGGACTTGCGGTCAGGAGTAGAGTGGACGAATGTTTTTTTTTTTTTTTTTTTTTTTAGAGGCTGCTGTGCTGACGAATTTTTCTACGTGCACCATAGACGCGCACACACAATATGACCTCACGTTCTGCGCATATGTTTTACAACATAATTTAACATATAAATAGCCCACTTAAAGTGTTTATTACAAAAAAATTATTAAATGCTTAAAATGAATAAAAGTAAATGAACAAATATTTGCGTTATATTTAAACTCATGAACGCCCCCCATTAACACCTGAACGCCCCCCTTTCAAAAATCTTGCTTCCAACGCCCCCTGTTGTTCTCTGAACGCCCCCTGGGGGGCGGTACCGCCCCCGTTGAGATACACTAGAAATGATGCAGCAGTGCTGCATCTGCAAAGTTCAAAGGAAGTCCTCTCGAAGTGGTTAGAGCTTCAGACAAACTTCAGTTAGCCATATTCAAGTTAGCCATTTTCTTCTGACTAACTGAGAAACATGCAGATCTTTCCCCCGACTTCAGTGTTTCTTACAATGGTTGTTCTCTGCAGTCTGCTATCGTCTCTATCAGGGGGTAAGTCTCACTCACTTCTCGACTAAGTTTTATGTAAATAAATCAGACACATTTGTTTTTAATGAAGCTTTCCCAGCTAACGGCAAACTTTCTGCCAGGGTTCAAAGTTATTAACAAATGTTCTTCCACATTAATAGAATGTTAGTTCAAAGTTATCTGGTCTTTAATAACGTCATAGAAAATTTGCACAAAAGTGTTGTTTACATCAACTCATGAAACGCTTTTCTGAAACATTTTAGTTTAGACATTAGTCAAATGTTTATTAAACGTTGCTACTTACTACTTTTTTCAGATGGTTCAAAGAACGTTCAAAATGAATGTTCCCATAATACTTGAAAAATTATCAAACAGAAAACTTTAAGGGACTGTTTTCTCGATTTGATCATTTTGCAAGTATTATATGACATTCACCAAGAACAAAGATTGTTTACATTTAAAGAATTTGACATTTTTAACATTCTGAGAACATTCTGAAATAACATTTTCATGACTTAGCAAAACGTTCTTGCAACATACTTTTGCTAGCTGGGTTGTTGTCACATTTTGGTGTTAAGGTCTTTTTTAATGCATTCAACATTTTTGATGGGCTTAATGAAATACAAAATATTCCCCATGTACAGTGGTTGTGAAATACTCACGTGAAACGGTGACGAAGACTGAAGGCCATTTTGTGTCTCTCAAGTGTGAGGTGCAGTATGATATACAGAACTGTGACATTGTGACCAATTGGTGGTACATAAATGGCAATAAATCCAAGCCCATTACAGATCCGAACCATTATTTAATCACAGTAAATGAAACGGAAAAAAACCAACTCAGTTACAGGAATATTTTCCTCTCATTCAATTCCTTGAGCCTTGAAGACAGTGGACACTACCAGTGTGATGCCAAATGTCTCAACAGTGGGACTGTAGGGAAAGGCCATCTTCTGTACCTCAACGTCAAAGGTTTGAACTGAAACATTACTTTGATTGTTATATTGTTGTTACAATGTTCTTGTGTGTAACATTTATTAATATGAAAAACCTGTTTCTACAGCTGATCCATACAAAGGTCTGAAGGTCTCAACATGGAGTGGCCAGTTAAAGGCAGACAAAGCATTGCTGGCACTCAGCGCCATATTATTTTTAAGCCGTTATTAAATGACATTGTGTTTTCAGTATATGAACCAACACAAGGTATCAACACCTACTGTATACTTTACCAGCTCTATTTAAATGTTGCTGTTGAGCTGGTTACCTTATTTTTTGTAGTTCATTAAAAAAATTAATAATAAAATGGTTCTTTATTGGTTCCAATTTAAGCCTAAAGCACCATAAACTGAATTATTCATATTTTATTTCTATATTTTAATATTCTTATTGCCTAAAAGATAATATACACTGAGTAATTGAAGTTGTCAAAGAGATGATGAATTGCACAGTCTGTATATAAATTATATTTTTGTGCTACCCTCATTTTAACTGCAATGGAACATTTTAATGCAGCGGTCCAGGCTTGTGGTTGAAACTGAAACCAAGCTCGTCTCGCCAAAAAGAACATGAACCTCCTCAGGTGTGATCACTCAGTGATGTGACTAGCAGTGCAATGGAATTTTTTTTGTTTTCTTGCATGTCTATTTTTTTAATAACAAAAAAAGCAATATTTTTGGCAAATGTAAAGGCCCTTTCACACCAAAAGTGAAACGAATAAGCCTCAGGCTGAAGAAAAAGCAAATTCACACCTGTGCAGAGGGCGCAGCTCAAACAAACCTGTACTGCCATTCTGGATTGCAGAAGAATATGATGCATTTGAACAAAAAGATGAAACATGTTATGTTTATCTAAGGTCATTTTTGCTTATTCGTATGGTTGAATAGGATCGTTGAAGGTCAGCAGCAAAGACATTGGTTAATAAAGTGAGATTAAATACACAAAGTGTATTAGTGTTATAAATTACACATTTACTTATTGCAGGTTTACATCATATTTCTGTTTCACTCAGCATTTCACTGTTTTTTTTTATTTTGAGGAATACTGAATCTGTTTTTGTGCAAGTGAAATGAGTAGGCTAGATGCATGATAAGTTAACATTTAGTCTAGAACTACAATAACTACCATGTTTACACAAGGCCCCTGCACTTACTCCCGATTTCACTCAACATGGGGACAGGATCTGTCAGTCAATGGGAAAATAAAGTAACTTGCATTTAGGGCTGTCGCTAACGATTATTTTGGTAATTGGTCAATATTTTTTTTTAATTAATAATAATAAAATAATGTTTGGTTTAAATAAAGTATCAAAAGCAAGTAATGGTTATGGTTTTATAGAACAACACTGTTAAAATACATATTATACGCCAAAGACCTGGTGTTACACTTTACAGCAGATCAAATCCTTGCTTATTGGCCAAACGACATTTAATTCAAATGTTTAGGCCTACTTAATCTTTGATATTTGGCAACTTCTTTATGACAGAAATCCTACAGCTAATGCAAATTCTTTCAAAAGAATAGGTGGACACCATAACACGCGATGAACAGGTCGCATATTTAGATACATATTGAAGTATTCTCCTATGTTGGCGTAGGTTTATAAATGATTTAGGCTACCTTACAAATCTAATGAAATGGCGCACATTGCGTTCCCCATACGGGGGGCGGGATCACTCCTTCTTTAGACGCATAAAACCTACACACATGTAAATATGTTAAACCTGGCTGCAGGGCATATTTATTTAATTGAATCGCAGCCTTTGTGAATTCACAATAGCACTTTGCTATAGTATGGTTTTAAATGGTTGGTTTTAATATATCGTGCAGCCTTAGTAAAACGGTGGAATGCGCCACGGTCCATGTACTTTGTGATAATTTCATTACCTGTTTGGAATGAAAAACTAAATGAAAACCAGCTCGTTTATTCGTTTTTTTTTTTTTTTTTTAGTTTAAAAAACTAGTCTAAAAAACTTTAAAAAAATGAGATTTTGGCTCGATTTTTCATTTTTCGTTTGTGTTTTATACAAATGTATGGTTTCGATATTTCATTTGCACACGTGGGCAGCGCTGAAACGCCCCTTTCATCTGATTCGTCAAACCGCTCCGCCTTTAGTTAGAGCTTTTCTTTCTGTCAGGCAGAATAAGAGTCAGTAGCCTAAGCCTACGACTGCGGTACTGACAAATGCACTTTAATAAAATAATGTCTGAAACCACAACTCACTGTTAAAGCAACACCAAGTAACTCTTCCTCTGCAGTCGCCCTACAGGTTGGAAGCGGAATTGTCCATTACCGCTGTCGTAATTTTTTTTGCCTACTTCAGCCTACTGACGCTCGCGCACGCTCGCTGTTTATCCAGCACCGGCTTTGGAATCAACAATGGCAGACATACCAACCTGCAAGAAGTCATTTCAGGGAGGTATATCTTGGTGACTGGATTGTTGACGGAGGGGTTGACTAGCTTTCGTGAGGCACACTCGCAAGGTCTGTCCCTCTCTGACGTGCGCGCGCTATGTATGTTTTGAAGAGATTTGAAATAATTTGCGGACATCGGGAAGAGGCTATCAAGATGCGGGAGACTTTGGGATGTCTGCAATGGCCACAGACATTTTGAGGAAGTGGTGGGGGAAGTGACGTATGCCGTAAAGCAGTCGAATTTTGTAGTTCCCTTTCAAGGGAACTTCGAGCTGCGTCAAACGCTGTGGGAACGCCCCTGCGTTGTGCGTCATGAAGCACGTATGGAATCAGCCCAATGGAGAGACGGAACGTCATAGGCGGGTGACGTCATCGACCAGGAAACTATAAAGCACCCCAAAAACACAAGCGCATCAGCTTCTGTGCCTTCAGTCGCGCTATATGTGAATCTGTCTGAATGTAAACACTGTGTCTGTCTTTAGTATTTGCTAGGCAGGAGTTATCACATTTACACCACACAAACAATTTTGTATGAGAGACTATGGCGAGCGAACGGCATTTAAGAAGTGTGTTCCTCCCTGCTCGCGCTATCTAACGGGCGGGGATACACACGTTCTTTGTGTTGTTTGTTTGGGAGTGCAGTATGCCCAGTCAGCTCTCGAGGGGGCTGGCTGCGAGCATTGCGAGCGTCTGCCTTTATGGACGCTCCGCTCCCGCCGGGCGCTCTTTGAGGAGAGTGCTCGGTGCGCGCTCCCCGCGGTTCGAGTCCCGCTTCTGCCGAGGCTGAGCGGCGACGCTTATCGTGGGGATCGCAAATGGATCTTTCAGCGGGGTTAGAGACGGGCTCTGCCTTATCTCTGCCTCTACCTATTAGATCCAGTGTCTCAGCCCGGTTTGGAAGCACGCTCTGCAGTTTCTTCCGCCCGGGCTGAGGCACCAGTACTGCAACTATCTAACGTTAGTTATAAAAACTAGGAGATAAAAATAGCAGTATTGACGAGGGAGATGTGGAGGACTCGCCACCTAACACTCCCGAAAGCGAAGAGCTCAAGGAGGTTCTCACTCGAGCTGTATTAAAACTATGCATTGAGTGGCCAGTGGCTAGGCAGGAGTCTGTTATTAAATCTAAGTTAGATGAAAGATTTCTCCCTTCCCGTGTGCAACCTCCATGCCGGTGCTTGCCGTTTTTTCATGATCTCCATACTGAGGTGTCGAGATTATGGAAGAAGCAGGCTTCTGATATAATTTTAGCCCCCAATCATTCACATATTCAGATTTAACGGGGGCTAGGTTTTTTAAAAGAAAAGACGGCGCTTTGCCGCGGGTAGAAGAGACGCTTGCGAGCTATCTCTCTTCCGAGGCTGCATTGTCATTTAAAGCACCGGCATTACCTTCCAAGCCATTATGAAATATTTCGGCTTTGTAAAGTGTATTTGGCGGCAGGTCAGGCTGTGTCGTGTCTGCATACAATGTCTATATTGCAGGCATACCAGGCTGATTTGCTAAAGGACGTGAGCGTGAGTGAGGAGGCAGTACTGACGTGGTTCGAGGACTGCGTCAGGCTGCCGATTTGTGGTAAAATTATTTTTTCCAACATGAAACAGAAAGAGAAAGCTTTCTTTTAGATGATCCTCTCTCCCCTGCGGGGTTATTCAGTGACTTAGTTAATACTGTCATTGATAATTTCAGGAAGAAAAGAAGCAGGCAGCAGCTTTTAAAAGGTTTCTTCCGTTAAAAGTTCACGTCCACGGGGCTGCTGGGCGGGAGCAGCCCCGGCCGTTCACGAGCTCATCGCATAGGCGCAGCAAAGCAGAGTATCGCGTCTCGCGCTCCCCCTGCTGGACAGTGGGACCAGACGCGGCACTCTCAGCCAAAGCTTTTTGAAAAATAAATATAATATAATATATATATATAAATTATATATAAAAAAAATAAAAAAAAAGCAATAGAACTGGTTTGAGGACAGTTATATTGGCTATGCTGAGGGCGGTCCCCACCGAAGGAGAAAGGTGTTCACCTCTTTTTACGTGCCCATTCTTCCTCGGTGCCCTCAGGGGCCCGTTCTGCCAACCCCGCCTTCATGCCGGGGCGCAGACGGTCCTGGCGAGCGCTTTCCCGAGGGACGCTCGACGCCTCTGACACTGAGGGTGGTCCCCATCGAGGGAGAAAGGTGTTCACCTCTTTTTACGGTGCCCATTCTTCCTCGGTGCCCTCAGGGGCCCGTTCTGCCAACCCCGCCTTCATGCTGGGGCGCAGATGGTCCTGGCGAGCGCTTTCCCGAGGGACGCTCGCTGCCTCTGACACTGAGGGTGGTCCCCATCGAGGGAGAAAGGTGTTCACCTCTTTTTACGGTGCCCATTCTTCCTCGGTGCCCTCAGGGGCCCGTTCTGCCAACCCCGCCTTCATGCCGGGGCGTAGACGGTCCCAGCGAGTGCTTTCCCGAGGGACGCTCGCTCCCTCTGAGGAGGGTCTCAGAGCGGTCAAACCAGTTGTTCCCTGCCGGTGCGCCGTTACAGGGCGCTGTGTTTGCTGCTCAAATTACACCAGAGACCAGTCTCGAGAGACTGGTACCCTTAGTAGAATTTGTTTGGCAGAGTGGAAAAGCCTTCCAATAATATCTCAGTGGGTCCTGCAGACAGTAGTAAGAGGTTATGCGATCCAATTTAGGTGTCGTCCACCGAAACTCAGAGGGGTTCTGCCCATAGTGTGGGCCCCGAGCAGGCTCTGGTAATGGAACAAGAGGTGAAAATGCTCCTTCAAAAGGGGGCTATAGAACGGGTTCCTCCTCCCAGTTTGGAGCTAGGTTATTACAGCCGATATTTCATCGTTCCAAAGTAGGATGGGGGGTTGCGTCCAATTTTAGATTTGCGCCTATAAAATCGCTCGGTAGGGAAGCTCAATTCAGATGCTCACTATCAAGCAGGTCGTGTCACAAATCAGGTCCGAGGGCTGGTTTGTCACGATAGATCTAAAGGACGCTTACTTCCACATTTCCATACTTCCACAACACAGGAAGTTCCTGAGGTTTGCCTTCGGGGGCGAGGCATTCCAATATAGGGTTCTTCCGTTCGAAAGTCTAGCTATCTCCCCGTACTTTATGGAGCAGATGGCGGTTCGACATCGAGATGTCGTCTTCGCGCATATCAGGAAGTTGGGGTTGAGGCTGAACG